CTAACTGACCTTATTGGGACATATTTTCACATGGTGAAGAAAATGTGCTATGTTGACTCAAAGGCTACCTCCTTGCCAAATTTCAAGTTGCCACTAGAACTTCCAAAATAGGAAAAAAAAGAAGCCATCAGTTTTCAAAATCAAAGAAGAATGTTTGTTTCCTAGAGGTTTAGAAATAGCCAGCCAATTTTGACCAAGATTTTCCAGCAAAAAATAATCAGCCTGGAAAACAGAGTCTGACAATTTAATCTTAAATAGTTCAACATTTGGCAAAAAAAGAGTGTAAGCAAAACACCCCAACTTTTTCAGTGGGAAGTTTGGAGTACATTCGTATGCCAGCCTCATCTTACATGTGAATTTTGGACACTGGAAGTCCCAGTTTATCAAAAGAAGGCATGAAGAATTAAGAATGTTTGTCTACGTAATGCAAACCAGACACGCATCAGATACAGAGAAGTATGTCCAGAAGCAGGCAAGTCCAAGAGAACCTGTATGCAAATATCTTTTGGAAGAAATTTCAGCACATCGTGTTACAAGAACAAAGCACAAGGGAAACACAGCCATAATTGAAAATTACACTGATGATTATCATTCTTTGTCATGGATAGTTGTTATTTCCAACTAAACCCACATTTGTTCTTAGCTAGAAACAAGGAGATCACATGTCTCAACAGAACAGACGCTTAGGTTTGCCAGCCGTGTGCAGGAAATAGCACTGTTTTCTATTGCACTTATGGAGGGGTCCAAGGGCCACAGATTGTAGGAGAAGCTGGGCCATAAAAAAAGCAGTAATTAACCTTGATATTGAAATATAACATATGATGCACTATTAAGGCTTTTTTTCGCTCTCCATGGAAGAGCACTATGCATTGGCACCTCCTGCTCCATGGTGTGTGATCGACAACCTTACCACTTGAGCTACCTACGCATTGGCTGCGGTCTCTGAGTGGAATATTGAATAATGAGGAAATGCAGATTTTCCTTGCTTGCTATAATGGCAGCACAACTTATGTTGTATACTGCTCAGTTTGTTTTGACAGCATGCCAAGCTGCTGGTGGGTGGTAGTGTCAGATAAACTGTCAAATACACAGTTACTGGTAGAAGATATAATCAGTTCCACCTGTGTAAATCTGGAGTAGTTTTCAGTCGATTTTTCTTTTCAGTGTTACTTCTAAATTTACCCAGAATTTGACCTGTAGGAATGCAATAGCTGGTTCCTAGAACATATCCTGTGTTCACGTCTTTACATCTGCCTTGTGCTGGGCTTTGGCTACTCAGTTCCTTCCCACTTTCTTTCTGGATCCAACAGGAAAGCTGATAGTTGGTGATAATATTGTCACTTGGTAACAGAAATTCCTAAAAGCCATTTTTTTGGATGCAGAAATAAATAGCAATGTTTCACAGAGCTCTCAGTTCCCCATGTACTGCTAGCAAGCTGACTGCCATTATGAGAAAAATTTACAGCAGGAGCAAAACAATCAGACCCCCAGATAAAGTGTAATGGATGTTAGGTACCATACTTGCAAATAAGCAGAAATACCAGTTTCTGTTTGCCTCCTTCTTCATAATGTGTTCTAATGTTTTGCTACTAAAGATGCAAAACGTTATGACGTGGGGCGTGGGTTTTGGTTAAGACATTTGTGTTATGCTCAGTGCTAGATGTTTAGTTTTGGCCAAAATACAGTGGTGATATGTTCATTATATAACCACATATAGAAATATTATTTCCTTCATCTTTTATCATATTTTTCATGTGGTTTTCTATGGTAAATGCATCATCTATGAACACTGTCCAACCCAGGGGGTAACCTGAGTAGTCACAGCTAGTTCTACTCCTGAATGAAGAATGTATCATCAGATTTGTTTCCAGAAAAAAAAAAAATGTACACCAGCGTGATTCGTAGGATAGCAAAATCAGAGCACCTAAGAGAGCTCTGTAAACCTCTGGTTTGCCCTGGAGGAGTAGGTTTTGCCTCAGGCTTAGGTGGAAGGTGTTGAAAGGTAGCAAAGGGTATTCCTGTTAGCTAGGTAGGTCTGAAGTCTTAACAGTGTTATTTACTCCAGCAAGCAAAAGAAATAGCCAAGTAGTTAGGGCACATCTCTAAATATCCTAGCATAACAGAAATGGGTATGGGACAGGCACTATGTCTTTCCCAGGAATACTAATGCTGATGTTTGTGATATTTGTGGTAATGATGTTGATCATAGTTTTGCAGCAGCATTTTTTCACATGCGTATTTAGCTGAAGATCATTGATTAACTGACAGGAATTTGTTCTGCATACAGACCAAACCAATTATCAATAGTTGGAAAATGTGCATGATTACCTTAGGTGTTTCCATAAACTGGATGAAATCAAACCACTAAATTTTAACTGGTGCTGCTCATTTTAATATATAAGGGGAAGGAGAATGCTCCGTTTCTAACCCTACACTTACACTAGTTGACTTTTTTTTCTGCCTTTGTTTTGAGGGGAGGAGGAGAGAGTTATTCTGGGGAAGAAATATTTACTGCCATGGGTTTTAGACTTGAAAATCCCAGTGGGTGTGTACAGAGGAGTGGATTCATCCTGAGGATAAAATTCCCCCTTCCTGCCCACTGTGTTTCTGTTAATACTGTCCATGAGAAACTGTCTTTGTACCCTTCAGAACAAGGCTTCCATCTGTTTAAAGCATTTACATAGTAGCCCCATTGAAACCAGTTAGAGTGGCTTCGTCTCAATTGGACAATGTACTCTGTAATAGAAAATATTTATTCTCTTTTGGTTTAAATCTTTGCTGAATCAACCAGATTATTGTTGCTAGAGGGGAAAAAAATTGATGAAAAAGAAATGAAAAACATTTACCTGAAAATAGCAAAATAACTAAACACAACTTCATCCCCAGTATCAAGTATTCCACCTCAAAGATTGTGAAAGAACATATGGAAAGATAAAATTCAGTTTCTGACAAACAGAAAGTTAGTGATGTTACGGTATTAGGCAACACTGAAGAAGAAATGAATGTAGACTTGTGATCCATGCTGTGTATTCTTCCTGTTTTGTGCAAATTTAAAGGGCTGTAATTTAATTAGTAAGGTGGGTGTTTTTTCATCTTCAGTGGCAATTTTAAATCTTCAAATCCTTAGTCTGTGAAAGAAAACAGTTCTTTCATTCCCAGCCTTCTATATGTTGTTGCCCATTAGTGATTTCCCTGGTCAGTCTGACATAACTGAGTACATTTTAACTGTGTTTTAAAACTTATTTAAATACCATGGTGTGCACAAAAATTCCAATGAAAAAAGAATGAGGGAGGGGGGAGAAGGAGGAGGTGAGGAAGTGAGAATTTACCCTACGGTCATGGCGTCTCTTATTGGCAGGTTCATGTTTACTTGGCAAAGAGACTTCTAGCTGAATAATGATTCTAAGGTGGCCATTGCCATATTTAATTACTCATTTGTTTTTGGAAAAAGTTAGGTTTTCCATCAGTGAAACAGTAAAAATAGTGACAGCATTAGCATGCCGTTACAGTGGAACTTTAGTGAGGATACATTGACAATTGTCTTACTTTGCTGATGCATATTAGAATAATGAGCGAAAAAGTTTTAAAATTATTCCCCTGCTTAAGATCAGAAGAATGTAGAGATTTTCCAGAAAGATTTTTTCCGTATGATACTCAATTAGAGCCTGCTGGAACACTACAGTAATGGGTTAGTTATCTTTCACACAAAGTAATTATCCCACTCCATGTACAGTAGGGTGGATTAACAAGGATTTTACGTAGGAATCTTATATTAGGTTGGTTTTGGTAAACTTTCATCCTGATAGTGGATCCATAAAAGGCAAATGCGCTTTGTCAAAGAAGCTAGCAAGTAGGCAAACAATACATCTAGAAAACCAGCAGTTACTTTTTCAATAGTACGAGGTAACATTCTCTGCCTTTGTTTTGATGTGCTCAGTATGGCACATACGTAGTGGCCTCACTTTGGAAAGTTAAAAGGTTAATGGTATCAGACTGTCATCACTCCCCTTCAGTGTCCTTGAATGTTTTTGAGATGTTCAGCGTACATCACCTAAGAAATGCTTTCTCTGGGAAAGGTGCCTGTGATTTTTGCTTCCGATCATGGTGTATCAGTGAATCTGTTTGATGTTGTGGATTTACAGACCCTGGATTTTGAAAAGTAGAGTTACTATACTATTACTATAGAATTACTATCACATTTCCAGTAAAGTAACGTCTTAAAAACTCCCATCATTTGTGTTACAGAACTCATAGCCTCTCATACACCCTGTGTCAACCCCCATTCTGAGGCAACTTGGAATTATTCTCATAAACGCTACCCTTATAAACACGTCCCTACAAAATAGGGCAACATTTCCCACATTATGGGAATCAAGCTCAAGTCTCTTAAGTCCTGGTCTCGTGCACCACCTGTAGTTGAACACTACAGTAGTTGAAACTACTACCTGTATTTTCTCTCCTACGAGGTAGAGATATGCTTTGTTCTATTTTCCATCAGGCTGCATACAAAATTCAGTAATGTTCAGCATCTCCATTTTTCAGCCGTGGTGTATGTCTGGTAGTCTGCAGATTGGCATAAATTCATCTTAGGCTCTTTTTTTTTTTTTAACTATATCAAGCGTTTTGATGCACTGGAAACTACTTTGCTTGATAGGATTATGACAATTTTCTGAAATGAAAGCAGAAGCAGTATGATCTGTGGCAACAGCAATTCTGAGTCCTTAACAGTGCTGCAAAATCAACAGGAATAGAGCTTTCCTGCATGGTGTCTTCGGATGGGGGGAGCTTGGTGGGAGATTGCCATAGAGACCCTCGTGGGGGACGTAGAAGTCATCCCACCTCGTTTATTTCTACAGCCAGATACTGAAAATGAGGCATGGTTTTGGCAGGCTCCTTTCATCTTTCTGAGGCAAGTAGTTGATTTCTAATTCACGGAATTAGAGTGCTCTCTGGAAGGAGCACGGCCAGTGATTTGGGGTGGTTTACGGCTTTCTCTCTAGGCTGCACTTTGGCGGAGGTGGAGGAGGCGACGGGGCACAGCAGCGGCCTCGGCCGTGACGGGCACGTCTGTGCCGCAGTCACCCAGGCGTACCCAGGTGTGTTTTAAAATGCCTCGTGTAAGGCCTGTGCGGTCGTGGCCCAGCGCTCAGTTTGGCCCGGTATGGCGGGACACGCTGGGTATCTGCAATATCCCAGGGCATTGTGGCTGGCACCAGAGCCCGTGCGTGGCCGCGGGCCATGGCTCTAGAGCAGCGCTCACGTTGCGGGAGGCCTCTGCGTAATGAAGGCCCTGCCCTCCCCCTCGGCAGCTCCTGGAAGGCACGCGATGTCCTCCGGGGAAGCAGCGGAGATGTGGGAGAGGAGGTGAGAGGGTAGCTCCGTGTGGCCTGAGGGGTGCTGAGCGGGCAGGGACGGGGTGAGGAGCCAGAAGGGAGAAGGTGTCTCTCTCATTCTCACCCCATGGATCAGACAGAAATAAGCGGTCACTCTCTGATGTCCAGGCCTGTAGAGGGTACTGGAACAGCGACAAAAGCCCTGAACATTCAAGTTATGGAAAAGATGAAGGGAAAATACGCAATCTGTTTTGAGGTTAATCGTGTATCAAAAGCACATAGGCTTCATGGCCTCTGGGATACTTAAGACATGCCTGTGGAAGCAGGGTTCAATAGACAGCTACATGGAGGCACCCCGTGTGTGGATGTTGTTGCTCGTTCTCCATTTTAAAAGAAGATTGTTTCCATGCTTTAAACAAATAAATGTATAATAACAATCTTTAATCAACGTATTTTGCATTGGTTTTATTTCTGAGTCGGGCCCTCTCCCAGCTGCCAGTAAACCATCGCTGTCCCAATGTATCTCTTGCCCTTTCCCCACCTGTGTAGCTCTGAAGCCTTTTTTTCTTGGGGGGGGGGGGGGGGGTGTGTCAATATCTGTGGTGACACTTGGGTTAACAATAATGAAACTAAAAACCTGTGAAGCTGGAGTGCAAGAATTACAGTTTAACAAGCAAACAGGTTAGAGAACCTCAGTCTTATTGCCACCTGTCCTTCATCCTTTAGCTGTCCTTCTTTATTTGGGTATATCATATAATTAAGCTATAATCCAGCATTAAGCTTCACTTCCAACCCAGACGAGTGCAACCATTATTCTTCCTAAACCCCTGTGGCATGAATATAGTTATCGTATACAGCATGAAAGGATGGTCTTAGGCACTGAGGATTTGCATACAACTGTTTTCTTCGTACCTAGGCCAGATTTTTCACTGCTTCATGTTCCATAGGGTAACACATGAATGTGCTGAGCATTTTTTCAAGACTTGTATATCTACAGTAAACTTTCTTACAAAAGAGTTACTCACTCAAGCCTGAGTGGCCAGTGGTATTTATGCAGAATAGAGAAATTCAACCTTTTATTCTATATATGTAGGAAATCCACTTTTCTGTGACAAAAACCACTGTATATTTTGAATAATCATTTTTCCTCACATAAAAAATATAAATATTTTTAAGAAAATGCTGCAGTTTGTGTTTCCAACATTATAGACTTGTGTCTTCTGTGTTGAGGAAGAAGAGAACAACATCACCAAAAGGATTAAAGAATTAACTCTAAAAAAATTATAAAATGTTCTCTATAGACTTTCATGCAGGAGAAAAAGAATCAAAAGCTACTGATAGAAATGAGATCAATTTATAAGATGTTCACTCTACTGGTGAATGGCTCGCATTTTTAAAAATTAGAATATTAAATAGATGGAAGAATTAAGTATAATTCTGCTCCTGCAGCATTCTAAATAATATGGTGCAAGGTTGTAAAGTTATTTTTAGATAAGTATGGAAATCATATATATAATTTTTGTCAATATAAGACATTTGAACTTCCTCAGTTCTGGTTTCCAGTGAATGGTGTTCCACTTCCCCATTAAAAGATTATGTGCACAGAAGTTTGTGGGCTATTCTGTATTGTCCTCAAAATAAATGAGTACACTTAATCCTGCCCAGAACGATTCCTCTCCTCTGGTTTTTTCAGACGTGTGTTCTTTGTAGGCTCACAAACAGTTACTTTTAATCACATTTTGAGGTAGTGTAATAAACATGAATATAATATTATTATTCCTTACTGCAGGGTATCTTGGAAGTTCTGATCAATAAGGCTGGCTTTTGTATACTTAAGGAGGGGAAACAACTCCAATGAAACAATGCTTCAGTGCCAAATTGGCCTGCAGGGCAATGAGATAATCTGATTTCACAAACTCATGGTTGCTTTTTACAATTTCAGCTCGCATCTGTCAAAAGCAAAGAGGAGTCCTGTCCTATTGAATTTTCAGTTGTCTCTAGTGCCTCCATCACAAAGTCCCATAATTAGATGATTTTTGCTGAGATGAGAAGTCCTTTTATAACGTATCTACATACAGCCTGTTTGATTGCCATGGTCAAACTCATTTGCTTAAAATGAGTCTTGACAGTGAAGCAGACTTTCTTTCTTCATGTGAAGGAGGACAGTGGATAGCAATAGAGTGGAGAGTTGTTGAGTGAGAGAAGAAGTTGGAAGCCTACCTTGCTGGAACATGCCTATTTATTATTATTTCTATCACTTTAGCGCTGTAAGCCTCATAAGGTGGGTTCTGCCTTTCTGTGCACTGCACCAATGAGGTGTAAGATGTGTGTTCCTTGACTGAGATTTTACTGCTTTTAAAATGGCAAAATGATAACCTGAAGGAGGAAAATTAATTCTGTGAATGCTACTTATGGCCATGGTTATAACATGAACTAAGCAGCAGCTACATGATTTCTGTGGTAAGACACCATGAAAAGTTTCAGACTTCTCTCAGGAATTTTTGAAAACAGTATTGAAATCTCTGACCTTCAGGCTTTGTTTCAGTTTTTGACCATTAATGTGGCTGGCTGCTGCCTCTTGCTTTAAAAC